CACTGAAAATCCTACAGTGTAATCGTCAATGCAGATCCAGAGCGTGTAGCGCCCAAATTGGAGGGCAGGACTAAAATATGTCAACATCTCCAAGTTTTGTTAAATATGTAACGGGATGACAGACGAGTCATTGAGCAGATGGCGGGGCAGATGAATGGCTCTAACAGATTCCATACTCTGGTTAAACTGATTTGGGGGAATCAAGACAGAGAAGAAGATGAGACAAGGAAGCGAATCTGAATGTATCATTACCCAACTCATTAGAACACCGACTGTCGTTCCAATCAATTAGGCCTTTAATATAAATGTAAATGTAATCGGCTCTTTGTAATTAACTGTGGGTGGATTGCTATACAGAGAGGCATGGCTTTGGGCTTTAATTCACGGTGATTACGTGAAGTGTTTGTTTCTGAAATCACGGGCATCGTGTTGAGGCTAAATAAGCTAGCTGGTTGATTTGCCGCCGGTCGAAACCTGTCTCTGCTTGTCTGCCTGTGATGGGGAGTTTGTCTCGGCATTGCTCTCTGGTGATGGTTATTAGTGTAGCTGACTGGCTGCCCTCTAGCTATTTCCTCAACATTCACTGCCTTCAGTTCAACTTGGAAAGACAAAGAAAAATGGCTAAAACCCTAGGGGAGATGACAAAGGAGACAAAGGAAAGCGAGGCTAAATAGAGGGTGGATATAGGATAAAGGGAAATGTAATGGGAAGTTAATGAGAAATGAAGCTTAGGTCTTCTTTTTTCTCCTGAAAAGTGTTTATCTGTAAATATATTGGATTCTTCCTGCAGCTTTGTAGACCTGTGAAGCAGACAATCCAGCTGAAAAACAGAGTCTCCTTTTAACCCAGCTGCTTTAGTTTGGGGGCTCTAATTGGAAAAATTAGACTGGCCGTTTGGGAGGCTAATCTATAAAGCATTACTCCAGATGCCGATGACGTTCTCCACCAGAAGAAATCCCGCACACCAGTTGACACCAGAGACGGATACTGACTGATATTTGTCCGAGTAATTCATCACATCTTGTCGATGAATCACCAATTTGTGTAGTAGTGTACTAGTGTAATAGTAATGATCTTTTCTTATTTATTCTGAGAAAATTCTCAGTGTTTTTCATGATTCAAACAGAGTATTTCTTTTCTTCCATATACCATATACCCTGTATATGCATCCTTTTGGGGGACACATAAAAACAGGAACAAGCAGCAATATTTTGTACAATCCTATCATAAATGAAAAGTAAGGGGGGAAAGTATGTTTAGCCTACACAATTTCTGCTAGAAGATCGAGCGCCTAATAGTTTCCTTTAAAATGAAGAAAACACAATGTTTAAAGAATAAAAGCACATGCCCAGCCTCGTCCCACTGTTGAAATTAACAGGATAAAGACGTGCATATTGGAAAAAGACAAGACTAACGGAAGAAGATCATTAACATATACTGGCCTCTTCCTCAGACAGTTTGCTTCATATTGATATGATGGCATCACACAGTTTCTGCAGATTTGTTGGCGAAACATCCACCATGCACATCTCCCATTCAAACACTCTCTGGAACTGAGATCTGGTGACTGATGGGCAGATTTGAGTGGGTTAAACTTGCTGTTCAAGAAACCAGTTTTAGATCATGGATGGAAGCAGCCATCAAAGTAGGGCTGC